CGCAGTTTGATTTTCTACGGTGACAATTCGAGAACGAGGTGTTCCATTGCATAAAGGCTCATGTTTCGAGCGCTACCACTTACTAAAAAAATACTGAACCAAGTTTCAGAGTTTTTTGTTCTTAGTAATAATAAATAATAAAAATGAATTTTTGGTCGTAATTTATTCTGTTGTCTGGTAAATTTGTACTTCGCGCCATTTTAAGTAGTGTAAATATACATAAATATTCGAGTGAGGTATCGAAAACTTCAAAACTTTACTAAAGTTTAATTATTTTAATAAAGAAAGAAATATATAATTTATTTTAATAAAGAAAAAAAATAATACGTCATAATTTACTAAAATACAATTATTTTAAAAGAAAGAAAATAATATGTCACAGTTGTTAAATATCGTCTATATTTTTTAAAAATTTGTAAAGTTCCGAAAACTTTACTAAAGTTTAATTATTTTAATAAAGAAAAAAAATAATACGTCATAATTTATTAAAATTTAATTATTTTAAAAGAAAGAAAATAATATNNCAGTTGTTAAATATCGTCTGTATTTTTTTAAAATTTGTAAAGTTTCGAAAACTTTACTAAAGTTTAATTATTTTAATAAAGAAAAAAAAATAATACGTCATAATTTACTAAAACTTAATTATTTTAAAAGAAAGAAAATAATATGTAACAATTGTTAGATACTGTCTGTAATTTTTTAAAATTTGTAAAGTTTCGAAAACTTTACCAAAGTTTAATTATTTTAATAAAGGAAAAAAAATATGAATACCTCGTAATTAACTAGAATTTAATTATTTCAATAATAAAAAAAAAAAAAAGAAAGATGGTATGTCGTAATTGTTAGATATCCGTGTTTTTCCAAATTCGTGAAGTCTCTCCAAACTTACCTCAGCAGAAAGTAGTCTGGATGCAGTTTGCCCGTCGATACGAAAGTTGGATGGCAACATATTACTCGGTTGCAAAACTTCTCGACGTCCCGCCGGCTCGTTATGAATCCCTAATTGTTTCGAATAATGCGCGCTTTCACGACGCGAGCATTGTACCCTGGACTTCCCGTGGTTTTCCTTGATAAATTATCGGGACGAAAGTTGCACGGTGCCAAAAATAAATCAAGTGGGAGTGAAAGACTCGAGCGCGAGTGAAACGAGTGTGAGAGAGAGAGAGAGAGTGAGTGGGGAAGAAGAGGTTAGGACGAGCGGTCCAGGTTTCATTCATCCGGTCTATGTAGGCGACGTATATATATATAGGGCCTATCCTATCTTATCAGACGCGACGACCGAAACGGATATTACGATAATGGATACTCTTGGAATATGCTCATCGCTGCATGGCGGTGACGCGATCGCTTCTGCGCTATCTGTCTGCACGGTATTAACATTAGAACTACCGACGATTGAAGCACAAAATTTTCCATCAGAAACATTTTATTAAAACTAGGAAGGAAGAACTTTTGTTTCTACATCATTTCACGAAAAACCATTTAAATTTTCAAAAAAAGAGATAGAAGAATTTTACGTAATGTAACACGATCTTGTACAGAAACTTTTATTTCTACATTTTACGAAAAATCATTTAAATTAAAAGAAAGAAAAGGGATAGAAAAATTTTGTAATACGACCTTCTACGGAAACTTTTATTTCTACATTTTGCAAAGGAACCATATAGATTTAAAGAAAAGAGGATAGAAGATTTTATAATACGATCTTGCACGGAAACTTTTGTTTCTGCATTTTACGAAAAATCATTTAAATTAAAAGAAAGAAAAAAGATAGAAAAATTTTATAATACGATCTTCTACAGAAACTTTTATTTTGACATTTTATAAAGGAACCATTTAAACTTAAAAAAGGGAGATAGAAAAATTTTATAATACGATCTTGCACAGAAACTTTTGTTTCGCGAAAAATCATTTAAATTAAAAAAGAAAAGAGGAGATCTTTGACACATTTGTATTTTAAAGCCAAGATAAATAAAACTCTAAGAAACAAATACGTCTCGTTAGGATATTTTTTTCTCCACGCTATTCTAAATTATAATTTATTCGCGTCGCTTGTAAATACGTTTGTAATTCAGAATATTCAAATTTTAAAGCAATGTTTAATTCAGTAATTGCTCTGCCCGCTCCGGATCTGCCAGTTCTGGAAGAGTATTCCCCGCAGCTGGAAAAATATTAATTCACGGTGGACGACGTAGACTTATACTAGTATTTTTTATACAAAAATAGAAACTATTTTATTCCAGTTTCAAATAATTATTTCGTTGAGTCGTTAGTTGTCGCTGAAACGTAGATTACATCGTGGACATTCGAGTGTAACACGAGTAGAAATAAAGTTCTCGATTTAACATGAAATATCTAAAAAAAAAAAAAAATGGCATTTCTCAAGTTTTGAACGAATAATAAATTCAGTCAAGGGATCACTCCAGTGTTCTACAGCCCGTGGCAAATCTCATGAATTTCAAGAATGACAGGGCTGTGAAAACAGTCTGAAGTTTTTGTTACATAAATCACCGAGAGATAAACAAAATTGCTGGCTCGGTGTAATATAGCATTTAGCAATTGCCATCGAGAACGGTCGGGGTTCGCGTGGCCAGTAAAACGTGGCAATTAATTTTACTTGGTCAATTACCCGACGATAATTCGACGAGTATTTGTTTCGAGGACGTAATTAATGGCCATGCCGATACGTAAAGCAGGTGATGTCGAGGTATCGCGTATCGAAGGAAATCTTTCGTGTTGAAAAGCTCTCGGGCCCTCGGTGAAAGAGCGAGACAACCGTAGGAAGGAAAGCTCGACGAAAAGCGATATTCATTCCCTCCCGTGGCTTTGGGCGCGAGTAACCGGACAGAGTTCCTCGATGTCCAGAGAGAGCGTCCCCGGTATATACACGCTTCTTCTTCGCGTTGAAGGGATCGCGTTACTCGTTCGTATCGCGTAACACCTGGTTCTACAAAGGAGAGCAACTCCTGCGGCCTGGAACGACACCGAGCCGACAACAACAACGGCATAAACGAGCGTGTACGAGCTCGGTGATACTTGATTGTACACTGCGTCGCCCTGTCAAGTTGCGTCCCTGATCGGGAATCGGTTCGTGCCTCTCTGGCACGCGTTTATCCTCTTCGACATTTTCCGGGATATTAATAAAAAATTATACTTGTTCGGTGAATTTAATCCATCCCCCAAGTGTAGAACGAACGATGAAATCTTTGTCCAGGCTCCGCTTTTATTTTTATCTATAAAAAATATGTTGTTTGTATGAACATCCGCGATGATTAATAATGTTCACTCGCGTTTCTAAATTTTTTTCAAGAAAATTTAAACTCCCACGCATAGAATGAATCCAAATGAATGATATCTTTGCATGAGTTTATTTATAAAAATAAATGAATTTGCATGAACGTCGGCGATGTATTAATTAATGATAGATCACCTTGTTCACTCGCGCCTCTAAATTGTTCTAAGAAAATTTAAACCTCAAGTGTAGAATGAATCCAGATAAATGAACATGCTATATTTAATGGAATGATAAATCTTTCAGTCCAAGCTCAGCTTTTTATTTTTATTTACAAAAATTTGACTTCTTTACGAATATCCACGATCTACTGATTAATAATATTCCTCGTTCATTCGCGGCTCTAGATTTTTCAAAGAAACTGAAGAATTGAATTTCCCGCGTTAAACAAACATGGCATCCCAAAACTGCATCATTCGACTGCGTCGAATTTTACACATTGTTACGTTTGCAAGGGTACAATTAAAAACTTATGCTACACAATTTTACAGAACTTTTATTTGAATAAGACAAGATTTTTCCAGTTGGTAACTTGTTGATGTAAAAATATTCCAGTACTGACCGCAATACTACCTGTAATACCGACTGTGATTTCCGACTTGTACTCAACAGTAGAACTACCAAAGTGATCAAAATGATTAATTTATAATTTTTCAAAGTTCACAGTTCTGCAGTTTTACAACGTTGTACTTTCGTTAGATAATTTTTATAAAATGTACGAATAAAAGTTTATACTCCTTGTTCTATCATAACCTTTGCTATTCATTTTGTACTGTAATTTCTTTGATACAGTCCGTCGGTGGTACTAGCGTTAAAAAGTAACTCGTAATTAATTTCCAACAACGTGGGGAATTCGGGCAGATTGCTACGTCCTACGCGTTCCGGACACTGGACAAGAGAGCTTTCTCTCCAGGCACGGTGACAGAAAAATACGCGAGAACGAGCATCGGCGCGTGTACATTAGGAAGAACGCGTTCGTACACGCTTGTACGTATACGGTTACACGTTCTCGCTTTCGGTGAAACTCCGTTACACTCGGTAGCCACCGTGCTCCATTACGGAAATATTTCTCACCTCTGTCAGGTTCATTGCTACTCGCGTTGTTCGCGATAGAGAAAAGTAGCCGTAGTTTCGAGAGTGAGCGGAAAATGGGGCGGGGGGAGGGGTTGTTGCGAATGATCGCGCTCTCGTTTCTCCAATGCTCTACAGTCTATAATAAATCTCACGATCAGGAACCAAAGAGAGAGAAAAAAAAGAAAGAAAGAAAGAAAGGAAAAAGGAAGAAAAAGATAACGGCAATAGCCTTCGTGCCAGACAGTATAGTGTTTCGCGACTTCGTGGTCACGCGACATCCCCTCGAACCACGAAGGGACATAGGCAGCGTGGTTGTCGGTTAAACGTTCGACTGGCGCATGCTTGGTTCGGACTAGTTCGTGCGCGTTCGCGCTGGCTCGGCTCAATTCGGTGCGCTTCGGTGGTGTTCGTGCGTTTACGCCGCTCGGGAACGACCGGACGACTTTCTCCAGCGCGTTGAATCACAGTCTGGGTCAGTTCGCCGGATGATCGTCGCTCCGTTCGGGAGGACGCGTGCGCGTGTGCCCTTCGTGTGATCACATGAGTGTGGAGAGCTGTTCGATACGATTCCTTTTCTCGTCGTTCGCGGAATCCAGTGCGTCGGAAACTAGTTAGTGTGGCCAGTGCGTGTGAGATACAAACCTTTCCCCTCTCTAATTAGTGGCGAGAGGGATAATGTTCAAGTGTGTCGCCGAGAAGGCCGCGGAGGTTGCACGGAGCAAGACGAAACTCACCGAGGAGAGCAAGAACGCGTGACAGGTAAAACATAACCTCAATTTACCCGCGGGGGTAAAAACCGCGTAGGTGAGGCTGAGTGTTTCTCAACCCACGCCAACTCTCTTCGTCGAAATTTCTCTTTTCTCTACGGTAGCTCGTTTTCGTTCGCGCCACGGCTATAACGGCGAGCGTCGTCGTCCGCGGATAGACTCGTTCTTTCGAACGACGGGCGGCGCAAACGAGCCATGCAACGTTACCCTCGGCGATTTAAAAGCTATATCACGCGAAATTACATACTTTCGATCGCACGCGTGACTTGTTTTATAGCTTGCGACGGGGAAAAGCGTTGGAAAGTTGTTCGGTTAACGTCGGATGGCGCTGGTCACTGAGACGTAGATTTTTTTTTCTTTCTTTTCCCCCCGTTTGATTTTCCAATAATCGAGGCTTCATGCGACCTTCTCGCTGCGCGTTTGTCCTTGTCGCGACCTGGCGCTTCCGTTTGCTAGTCCGAGCGTGTTTTCTCGCTTGTCCACCACGCCTTGAAAATCTTCGCTCTTTCGACTTTGCTCGGCCAATGCAAATCTATTACCGCCGTGCGCGAACTTCACACTCCTCGCGTCAGCGTTTCTCTCACTTTTCAAATGCTCAGATCGCAGAGAGGTTATCGTTCTCGAGTGTTTTAAACTTTATTCGCTAGTACGTGCGTGTAAGCGCTAATAAAATTATAAAAAATAGTCGTTCCTTACGTATTTTAAATTTACTTGACTCTCTTTCAAGTAACAAAAAAATAATTACGAAATACGTACGTTCTGATTAAAAGCGAAAATTCTGCTGGATAATACTGAAAGCGTAGATATCGTCTCTGACACGATGCACGTGATACATCGATATTGAAATTCAGCTTATGCTCAGCGTGCGCGATAATAATATTAAATACGCCGTGTTCGAAAAAGTGAGCCGATAATCGGCGGAAATATAGATTGGACCGCTCGGCGAGTAATCAAAGGCGAGTTTCCGAGCTCTGTGCGCGATTGCGAGGGGTGAAGCCGCGGTTACCGAGTTCTCGTTTGTATGCGAGAATTACAACGATAATCCATGGACAACGATCGATGTGCTCGCTGTTTCTCTTCTGTCACGGTTTCAGAAGAGGTTTATCCGCGTTCCCTCCGCGAGCCCGTCTATCAAGCAGCTTAAGAAATTAACATAAATATTCGTAGTTGCCTCCGTACATCTATCATACTTACCGGCGGTGTGTGTGTGTGTTTCACGGTGGTGCGTGCAAATTGAAAACTAACAGCTCTCGACGACGCCGAGAAGGGAACAGATTAACTCGAAATAATAGCGGCGATATAATCCTATAAACGTCGGAATCTATATTTCGCTGGCTGGCGATGCAACGCCGATTCGAAACCGGACACTGATTTGGTCCACGTCGACTTAACCTCTTAGCTACTGAACGCCGCTGTACGCCAATGGTTTTCGTCTATCTTCTTGAACCTTTGAACTTGTACGCCACTGCAATGACTTTTGCTTGTGTCATTTTTTTCGAATGGTACGCCACTGCAGTGGCTCTCACTGGCGTCTCGCTCGAAGTGTAAGAGCTTGTGATATTTTTCAAATTCTTCAATTTACTCTTCTGTTCTTTCGCGTGCATGATAACTTTCGATCGCTTTTACGACTTTTCAAGTTCCTTTACAAAATGAACGTTAATTTGCTCATTCTTTCAGTTTCAAAATTTTTATCCGTCGAAAGTTTATTCTAATAAATTGACGCGGCATGGAGCCAAATATATATACTCGCCGTAGCTAAGAGGTTATGAAACGTTCGATCATTTTTACGATTTTCCACGTTTCTTTTACGAAATGAACTATAATTTATTCGTTCTTTCAGTTTCAAAATTTTCATTCGTTCAAAGTTTATTCTAATAAAATTTAAGTATAAATTTCACCGTTTTTCACGCAGAAGTATCAATCTCGGCGTAGCCAAGAGATTAAGAAACTCGTGCAACGTTGCTTTTAAATGTGAATTCGTAAATTTGAAAATTATCTCTGCCCTCAAACTGTCATTAAGATAGAATTTGTTACTATGTGGCACACATCGGGCGTGTTATCTATCTTCGCGATAGCATATCTTGCAAACGTCTTGCTCGGTTACCAAGAAGCGACGTGTTTAACATATTTTCCAGTCAATTCAAGGTGACAGAGGAGCCTATTCTCTCGTTACGTTCGATTCATTGTTGTCAACGATGAGTAAACGGTCGGCATGCTGAATCGCGTTGCTAATACGCAGGTGATAAAACGTTCTCTCAAAATAAACTATGTGACTCACTTGTTGGAGCAAAGTGCGTTCTTGATGGTGAATTACGGACGTATAAAGTATCTTTTGTTCGTCACGATGAAGCTGTTTCCTATTTCATACACTTGGAAATTGTTTCCCCGATTTGATTGAAAATCGTAGTCTAGTTCTTTTGAATGGGTGGGTCGCAGAAATTTTCGCAAAGCCAAAGAATTAGTAAGAATTTTTTTTGCTTCTTTAATGCACTGTAAATTATATTTATTAAAATATAAAATCATCATAGTTTATTAAAATATTTTATTAACATTAAATACATTTATTAAAATATAAAATTATATTCGATATCTATACCAAAGAATTTTATTTTCGAATAAATTTTCTTTATGATTTATCATCAATGAACGTTTTTGTTCAGTTTAAGAAGCTTAGTCTACGAAATTATAGCCTTTCAAACTAGTCATTCCGTGTTATTTTTGCCAAACGAATCTCACGCTTATCTACGGTTGGAAAAATCGAGGACTTTTATCGCGTCGTCGTGCGAGAACTTGGTAAAATTCGGTCGTCCACAATGAGCGAAGGGGCGAACGTAGGAACCATGAATGGGCTGGCCGAAAGTATGAATGGGCTAATCAATTTCCAGACACACAACGCGTACTCTTGGTGGCCATGTTCGCCGATACCTCGTGCACGTACTTCGCGTGCGTGCGTGCGTACGTGTGTGCGTGCGTGTGTGTGTATGAATTTTCAATTGCAATTGGCGAGTAAGCGGTGGCCAACACAATACACAAACGGCGAACGATATGTCGAACGACATGGCCGGCAGCGTTCGCAAATGGAGAAATATCGCTCTGTTTGCCTCGATAATCGAACCTCCAGTCGTGGAAGAGCTATCGGATTCGTTCGCCGCGACGCGAAGCTTTCCAACAAAAACTTTCTACTCTTTCGAGTGTCGCCTCGTCGAACAAAAGGGAGATGAAACCGCGGACGGATTAATCGAAAACCCAATCGTTCTTTAACGATTGCGTCGTTTAACCCCTTGCGTTGGAATGACGTGCCACGCACGTAAAGAATTTTTTTTTGTCCCAAAATTGCAACATTCTCTCAGTTTTAAGTATATTTTAAGTATAACCCGGGCAGAACAAATAATAAATTTATTACTTCTCAATAATTTCAATCCAGTGATATCGTACGGTCGAGTTCAAAAAGAAAGCGACAGATTATTGTGTACAGTTCGTATTTGGTCACTCGTTATGGTCCGCAATCAGTTGCCAGCGCAAGTTAACCTCCTACGCACGTCGAGAATTTTCTTTTGTCCCAAAATTGCAACATTCTCTCAGTTTTAAGTATATTTTAAGTATAACCCGGGCAGAACAAATAATAAATTTATTACTTCTCAATAATTTCAATCCAGTGATATCGTACGGTCGAGTTCAAAAAGAAAGCGACAGATTATTGTGTACAGTTCGTATTTGGTCACTCGTTATGGTCCGCAATCAGTTGCCAGCGCAAGTTAACCTCCTACGCACGTCGAGAATTTTCTTTTGTCCCAAAATTGCAACATTCTCTCAGTTTTAAGTATATTTTAAGTATAACCCGGGCAGAACAAATAATAAATTTATTACTTGTCAATAATTTCAATCCAGTGATATGTACAGACGAGTTCAAAAGAGAAAGAAGGGGACGAATTATTGTATATACGGTTCGGTCACTCGTTATGGTCCGCAATCAGTTACCAGCGCAAGTGGTTAAGCTCGTGACGTGTAGTTAACATTGAACCTGCCTATACTCATTCCTAACATGACCGATCTTTGAAAAAAACATATGCTTCACAATATAGAATATTGACAGATAATGGCCAATTTGATAGTGAAGAAAATATAGTTTCTTTTATGTAGAAATCGGTAATGTATATTTTAGTATTTGTCACCGCCTTTTTTTTTTTTTTTTTTTTTTTACAAATCATAGGCTTCCCAATTGCACACTTATCCACATATTTTTCTATATTTTAGACAAATTTTGCTAGTCTTATCGTCTCTGCAATATATCGTATCTTTTGCGTTCACACAGATTTATACTTATATCTGTTTTTGCTGGATCTTCTTTGCCTAATTGTTCTTCTGTCAATTGAAATAAACATTCTTGCCTGGAAATTCCTTCTCCCGTGGCTTTGTATAAAATTCAATTCCCAGCTAAGAATAAGTCTAGGATATTGAAGTAGAATACTACTTGTAGAAGCCATCTCCGAGATTTGGATTTTACAGTGTGTTTTCTCTGTACTAAGTTTGTATAATCCGGCTATATCGTCATTGTTTCTTTTTTTCAATTTCAACGGATGTATGCATTGAACCAAGTACCCCGTACTTTTTTTTTATCGGGGTTTTGTTTTGTAAATCGTCAGGGCACAATTATAAAAAGAACATAAATCGTTCAACGTCGTCGTGGTCGATAAAACAGATTACATATTTCTCTCACAGTAACAAACGATAAGAAAAAGAGTGAATATTGAAATATTGTACGTAGTACTGTAAGAAAAGTCGTGAAGTTAAATGGCGATGCGAATTGTTACTGTAAGAGTTTTAAAAACCGGTCATTCGACCGATCGTGGTAGATGTTTAGGTTAGGTCAATTGTTACGCTGTCGTTTTACAGAAGTGCCCGATTATTTGTTTATTTCTCGCGAAAATTACGGACAGATCGGGGCGCGGTGATTAATCAACGGCCAGTTCGTCAAATTTGCACGCTTGATAAAATTCCTATCGCCGGTTGCGAGCCGATCACAAAGCGTTCCGATGCTTATGAATGGCGGTGTACGCGGAACGAAGACGCACGGTCGAGCGAATCTCGCGCAAACCACCGCGTGGATGATCATTGTGCAAATGATTCAGTGACTAGTCACTCGTGCAAGGTCCCAGTTCATTTCTTCCACAGGCTGCGTTTCCATAGTCTCGCGCGCGCGCACGTGTACAACCGTGTGCACTGTGGTGTGTGTGACTGCTGACTTGATTTTTGCTGCACGGAACACTCTGTGCTACGTTCGTTCCAAGTTATCACAGTTGCAAGGAATCTTTTTTATGGGAACTGTCATTGAGGGAAAGCTTTTTAATCCTTTGAGCATTGAAACATTCCACATTGGACGGAATATTTTTTCGCTTAGCTTACCATCAATGTCCGATGGATAATCTGTTGATTGATACAAGCGCATGTATGAGCGTAACCAAGTTGTAATTGTAATTTTTCAATCGAATTGAATAAAGAGTAGAATAGGTTAGAATAAAGGATGAAGATGTGGGTTAAAATAAAGAATGGAGGTTGTTTTTGAGCACAGATTATTAAAATTTGAAATATGTT